AACACGGTTTTCCCATCATGGTCATCATGGCAGATGTGGATGATTGAATCTGACAAACTGCAATGATATGAGTTTATTTCCGTTTTGGACACTTGATTACACAATACATGATAACAAGTTTACCATCATTTTTACATAATCAACTAACAATGTTGTAAAGATGCAGGAAATATCAAACAAACACTTTTACGTATCTTATTAGTTCAATAATGAGACTGTTAACATGCCTAAGAATTGAATCTGAGGAAATTTGAAAAAACAGTACAACTTCTAAAATAATGGCCCGATAACGCTGATTTTCGAACTCAACCTGCATTTTTGTAAGATTGACCACTCCTGTGAGTATAATGACAATTGGCTAAGCTGTTTTTCTTATATTGTGTTATTAATGTTGCATATATGTTGAAAAAAGTGAAAAAACAGCATAAAAAAATTAAAAGAAAATGTAAAATAAAACATAACAAAAAATACCAATAAAGCTGCTATTCAAACTTTTAATCTAGCTGTACAATTACTAACATGATATGAATAACCCTATTGAGTTTGAGAATAATAAGGCACTGTTATTCATCTTTAGCATTAATGTAAGCGTTACACAAAATTTTTTTTGTAAACTTATTTTCCATATTAAATAACATTTACCTGCATAATAATCATCGATTCCTAATTATGTGACACAGTTAAGAAAGCTAAACCGATGGGACTTTACAATGAAATCTCAATGTGTGTTTATGTAATCTCTTTAATACCCACTTGAAAATTAATTAAGCAAATTATTTTATAACCCTGAAATAACTTGAAAATCAATTAAGCAAATTATTTTATAACCCTGAATTAACTGCCTACTATCCATATACATTTATTGCACCAAATAGCACTGTACTGCATTGCTTTCAAAACAGAAAACAATTACGATGGTTTTCCAACACAAGCTGCACTTCAGTCTTTTCAGTAAGGTTGATTATCATAAGTAACATGGTTTTCCCTTAATCGCTATCCTGGCAGCAGTGTCCAAAATAGGGTTTTCATGCAATATAACATAATACTTAACAACATAATGACCATCAATTTTTTTATAAAAAAATAAAAGTATCATGGATATTCAGAAAATGTGATATGGAAAGGTCTCCAAGGACATGGAAGTTAGGGTCACACTTTCAAAATGCCAAAATGTTAACAAGAGATAACTGTACTGAAATGATTTTCTTTCCATTTTCAACACCTTTTTTACAAAAACCATAATCAATTAACTGTCATTTTTAAATGATCAACTAGGAAAATTGTTGACATAGGAAAAATATCAATAGAACAATTTATAATGTCCAATTAGCTCCATTTGGAGATTCTGAACATAGTGAATGATTGAATCTGACGAACTGCCTTTCCATTTTTGATACTTTATTACACAATGCACGATAATAGCTTTACCGTCATTTTTATATAATCAACTAACAATATTGTTAAGAAGCAGAAAATGTTAAAACAACACTTTTACATATCCAATTAGTGCCGTAATGAGACTGTTAACATGCTTAAGAATTAAATCTGAAGAAAAACCACTTATATACAAAAAGGCTAATAACTTCATCAAAACTTAACTGATCAAGCTTATTTTCAAACTTGATCTGTATACTGGTCAGATTGATCACTCCTGTGAGTTGCAAGACAAAAGGCTGATGGGTTTTCCTTAAAATGCGTTATCAGTGTTGCATGTATGCTGAATAAAGGGAAAAAAACAGCATTACTTTTGTAAAAATAGTCCAATCATGCCAATTTTCAAACTTTACCTGCGTATTATAAATATTCACCAGTTCTGTAAATTTCAATCCAAAAGGAAAAACATTTTTACACTTATCATGTTATCGGTGTTATAAAAGTGCTGAAAAAATTGAAAAAAAAAAAAAAAAAACAAAACAAACAAACAAACAAACAAACAAAAAAAAACAGGATAAGGTAGAATGGTTTTCCACTTATCATGTTATCGGGGTTGCATATATGCTGAAAAAAGTGAAAAAACAGCATAAATTCCCTAAAAATGACCCGATCATGCCGATTTTCGAACTTGACCTGCGTATTATGAATATTCATCAGTTCTGTAACTTTCAAGCCAAAAGGTAAAATGGTTTTTCACTTATCGTGTTATCGGTGCTGCATATATGCTGAAAAAAGTGAAAAAACAGCATAAATTCCCTAAAATTGACCCGATCATGCTGATTTTCGAACTTGACCTGCGTATTATGAATATTCATCAGTTCTGTAGGTTTCATACCAGTTTTCCATTTATCGACGGCGACGACAGACGCAGATGATGGCTATATGTACAGACACATCTGTGTCTGTACATAAAAACAATAAAAATAAAATTGCTAAGAGAGTTACTTGCAGAATTGCAAAATTAGACTGATTTTCAAATTCATGTTGTATTTTTGTCCTATGTTTCTTTTCTGTAAGTTGAGAAAAGTTAATGACATGGTTTTCATTAAATGGTTTAAAGTTTAAAGCCAAAAGGTGAACCGGTTTTCCACTTATGGGGCTGCCAAAATGAAAAATTCCCACGCAGGTGACTTCGTCTGTACATAAATACAGGGCGCTTTTTAAAATTTCCCACCTTTAATAATTATGTAGAGGATGTATTACAGACATCTCGCTGTGTACAGATTTCTCTTTCAGAACTTATCATGGAGCAGTTGGGCCCCTGGGCCCATGGTATGTAGGTACACATTTCACAATCTGTTACGCTCCGCTCTTTTACTCCTTTTCATAAAATTGTTAGGGTGACTCCCGTTAACGCCCAACATAAATACATAATTATTAAACATAGCAAATAATTTTACTTTTCAAATATATTGAATTTATAAAAAGGTCAAACAGCATTCCAGTGACTGGGAATATCATGCAATGCAGATAGCAACTGCTGATTGATCACTGATGAGGGTCACTCACTGATCCTTAAACTGAAGTATATTCTTGGCAATTCATAAAACAATCTTTTTAATAGCATGTAGTTCATTCTTTGAAGTATATGTAGTTCATTAAAATAGGCAATTAAACCAGTAGACACCACTGCGTATAAAAGATTAGATGCAAAATGAAATCACATCATTCAGATAAACTGTATACTTACTATCTTGCATGTCAGCAGTGTTGGCCTCTGCCACAGTATCCACAAAAGCCCACAGCATGGCATTACTCTCCTTGGCCAGAAACTCGCTGAAATGATATAGTCATTTTCATTTAGCTTATGCAGGTTGTGAAAATTTAGTAGATAATAAAAGCCTCATGTTCAGATTTTAATTGTCCATATATATATATATATATATATATATATATATATATATATATATATAGCTTCATAGTAAAACTAAGTCAACCCAAAACCTTCAGACTATCTTTCACTATGAGCTAACTCTAAGTGACTGTCTTTGCTTATAAGACCTCAGGCACATACTCACAGGACCCATACCAAAATAAGATCATCTGTTTAAGGCCCCACTATGCTATGCAGTTACCAAGGGCCAATTTTCAATATTCCTTAAAACTTATATAAATAAACAAGTTATTGAGACATACTTTAGTGATAAAGGTAGGGGTTGCTATGTAAAGTCAACATTGATGATGTGATGCAATTATCTTTTTCATAATCTCAGATGTTAGTTGGGGTTATATAAAGAAACATTTGCTTTTTTTAAACAAAGTGCTTTCACATATAAAATCCTTTTTTTTTTTTTTTTTGAAAGCTTTGCTTTTGTATCCCTTCAATACACACATCGACTTTCAGAGACCATTCTTAAGTCCTCAACTTCCGGTGTTAACATCGATCCCGTTCTCACTAGGAAATTTTATATCGCGATTTAAGTTTACATCGATAGAATCCACCTCTCGAGTAGGATTAATTTGAATCGCGATTTGGCGTCTCTACTGCGTTCACACTAGAAACTTTACATCAATAGAATCGCGATTTGGCACTAATCGCGATTGAAAGTGTCTCGTTTGAATGGGGTTATAAAATACTTGGGTAAAGTCAGGAAAGCTTTGTGGTCTATGACTCTGTTCATGTTGCTGTGTGAGGGGGCATGCCAGACAAATTAAGCTGATTAAATTGACTGTACCTAAGCAAAATTCCCACTGAGATAGATCAATCCAGCTAGTATGATAACTTCAATTCTGAACAAGGCCTATGACAGAAATATATTAGAACTAGCAAGTGTTCTATATCTAACAAATATTCAGACATAGGAAAAATTTTGAGAACTGAAGGTCCAGATGACCTGTGCTACAAAAGATCTGCAGTTGCTCCCAATTCTGTGCTGGTCAAACTAAGTATCTTATTTCTGTTAGACTATGTTTAGCCTCTGGCATATCTGCAAGTGGGGATGACCTGTCAGACAATGATTTTCCCCATGTCTTTATAATTTATTATTGGTTCTTATAAATGCAGTCCATGAACTCATTGCCAAGCATGGTCATTCAGGCTATACCTAGTTTCTAGCATCAGTGGTGTCGACTCCCATTTGGCATCTAGTGACACAGAGACAAATTTGGACTTGGCATCTACTTCACTGCAGGCATGCAGCACCAAGATAACTAACAAAACAAGCCCTGCCTGCAAAAAAATGAAATGGGAATTAATTTTTATTACTTTAATTTCTAATTCTACACCATGACAGATAAAAACATTTAAATGTACAGACCTGTATTTAAATCTGTATACAGACTGCATCAATAGTATAATAAAGTAAATGACAAGTAAATGCTTAAATGAAAAGCACCCCCTCCCATTGAAAAGAAAATCATTTTCATAACATGGGGCACCAAAATGAATGATGATTACCTCCGAAAAGTATGTGACATTTTTCAAAAATTTTGTCCCTGCAAAGCTGTCAAATGTACAGNCAGTTTTCCTCTTGTGTGTTATCAGTGCTGCATATATGCTGAAAAAAGTGAAAAAACAGCATAAATTCCCTAACAATGATCCAATCATGCTGATTTTCGAACTTGACCTGCGTATTATGAATATTCATCAGTTCTGTAAATTTGAATACAAAATGTAAAACGGTATTCCACTTATCGTGTTATCGCTGAGTGCACGGCGACGACGGCGACGACGGCGACGACAGACGCAGGTGATGGCTATATGTACAGACACATCTGTGGTGACACATCTGTGTCTGTACATAAAAAGGGCACTGACATTTGCTCCATGCCTAGAAAATGGCGCCCAGGTGAGCAGCTCGTGACTGTCACCTCAGAGTACCAATTAAGGTCCACTGATAAAACTGATGCATATACTGACAAATTGGGCTGTTTCTCATGTGACTAAAACTTAATTAATGTAGGGTCTATAAGGTTACTCTCCGCGGGGATCTTCTTATTCTGATTTAAAGGGGTAATAACTCTTCATATGAGATCTATATTTCACAATAAAAACATTGTGAATAACTCATAGAAATATACAATATTCTGTTTTACGACAAAAAACAGCAGTTATAGCTATTATTCTGATATCTGATATCTGAGCTTGTCTTCAAATCACGTGACCACCATTGATGGCTATACTCTGTTATAATCTCTTAAGAGATTTTAACAAAAAAAACCAACTTTTTAGAAAACTTTTTTTGGCCAAAATGAAGAGTTATTATCCCTTAAAGGTTTAAATATTGGTACTATTATTTATAAATAAAAAAAATACATCCCCGCATTTATTTATTTTTGCAATCAACAGGTTCCTACGAGGGCATTAATGCAAATGAGAACTTTTTTTACTTTGTTATATCATCCTTTGTCCTCTACGGAAATTTTTGCCTTTTGTTTTTGTGTTTCCATGGCTGCCATGCTTATTTTCCACTTTGGAAGAAGTTTGTATAAAGCTTAAAAACTACTTTTATGGCCTTCCGTCAAAACCTGAAGCACTGCAGATAAGGAGTTTTTTTTGTTTAAAATCAACGATTTAAATAAATTGTGTTCATTACACTTTTAACTTAATTTTATTTGTTTAGCGACCTTGGTGTTTCAACCAGAATTCTCAGTTTTATGACCCGTCTTTGTGAGAAGTCATCTGTACAGTCCAAAAGAAAAATAAACAAATATAACCAGGGGCATCTAGAACGTTACCTGATGGAGAAAGTTTAAACCAAACTGGCAATCACATATACAATGTACCTGTAAGTCTGCACGTAAAGAGACGCCCCTTCAAAATAATAGAGACGTTCGAATCACCCCATGACTGCCCTTTACACCGTACCAATTATTTTCCGATATCTTATTTTATGAAGTTCCAACTGGTGAATGTGTCCAGATAAAAATATATTGGACTGGCCTGTATATTGAGTATCAGTGTTAGTAAATGGGAGTTTGAAAGACCATACTTGTAGATGACCTTAAATAAGTCTACAGTAACCTTTCACTATATTAAAAAGGCATTGATATTTCCTACATACCTTAATTGACAGAGACTCCCCTGGGCTTCAAAATGGCAGTGAGGTGACCCCCTTGTTACTGTCACCTTACAGTACCAAGGTTCTCTGTGATTAAACTGATACTGTCAAATTGAATTATTTCGCATATGATCAATAAACATAGAGTGGGTCCATGAGGCAATTGTTCACGGGGATCTACCTATTCCGATGTTAGTTTTAAATACTGATGATCTGATTTCAAAAGTAAAATACTTGTAAAAGTATCCCCACGTTGACACAGTCACTTTTGCAGACGACATGTTTCCCCGAGGACATTTATGCAATTAGGCATTTTTTTCTACTTCCACTCACCTTGTTGGTTTATCGGTTGAGTTTCTGTGTGTGTCCTTGGGCTGCCATACAATTTTTCCACCTAAGAAAAAAGTTTAAAATGTCGGTTTGTATGGCCTTCCGTCATAGTCTGAAGCAGTGTTCATTTCATAACAAGAGATTTACATTTTTCTCAAACCACAATTAGTTAAATAGTTCATTTCACTTCTGTTAGTCTCCATCCAGCGACGTTGTAGTTTCAACTCGCCGTTCCGAAAAAGTCAGCTGTTCAAAACAAGAAAAATAATTGGTCCTCCACAATGAATTTCAATTACATGAACGAGCGGCTTTCTGTAAAACTTCCATAAGGCATTTCGGTTTTGGAAAAAATACATTCATACACGTATGTATGAGTGGTTACTTTAAAGTCCCATAATTTTAGCAAAAATGGCCAGGTCCTCACATACAGGTCTTCACGTGATGAAACGCCCTTCAGAATGATAGAAACGTGAGGTGATGATCACCTCGTGACTGCCCTTTACACTGTATCAATTGTCTTCCGATAGCTTATTTGATGAACAACAATGAAACATTTATTGGACAAGTGGGCAAACTGCCAGTGTGTTATCTATTGTTAGAGCGCAATTCCAGCTGGTAAAAATGTGTCCAGATTAAAATATATTGGATGGGCTTGAATATTGAGAATCAGTGTACGTCACTGGGTGCTCTAGTGACCACTACTTGTAGCCTTGAATATGTCATTCATGCAAAGAAACTGACGTCAAATACATGTGTGCCAATTTATATCGAGATGAGCGATTTTAACGGCTTTCACTCACCCGATCATTTCACCTTGTGAATTCTTCTTTGACCTTGTGATTTTTTGTTTCCTTGTGCTAGCAAATAACGAGAATGTGGATTTAAAAAAATTACGAAATTAACAGTGCGTAAGAATGGTTTAAATGTTTGTCCGTCATAAAGGGGTTATGAAAAAGGTATTGCAACTTGAAGCAGTTTGTAAGTACAGATATTATTTACTTGGTACATTGATTTAAGTAAAAATGCACTAAAACTTTGAAGATCAAATTAAAACAAGTATTCTATCTCAAATAGCATTTTTAAGGATACATATTTGCAGGTATGTGTGTGTATGTATATATGGGTATATATGCGTATATGCGCTTATATATATATGTATATTATCTGCCTTATGATTCTATAGAATTCTTCAAAGGAAGTTTACTCAGGAAAGAATTTATTGTCAATTAAGAAAGGAAAACATCCTATACAGGATAAAGAATAGTGTTAACATGTATTTACATAATCTTCGTATTCAACTAATTTATGATGCACTTACTCAGTAGTTATTTGTACATTTAAATGAAATACTTTTACATGAACACCTGGTGATTAAACGAATCTAAGTAGGAGTACACAAATAGTCAAAACAGTAAAATGCTACGTATAGGTATGAGAAATGTAAGAGGACTGTCAAACAAGTTATATGATCATAACTTTATTCAAACAGTGCAAAACTTCGATATATTTGTATGCATTGAAACTTTTAGTACAACGAGATCAAAAGTAACCCTGCCCACAAGCACTCACAGCCACTTCTTAAGATTAAGAAAGAAAAGAAAAGTGAAGGGTAGACCCTCTGGGGGAATTGTAGTATACTACAAAAAGGAACTTAGCAGTGCACTGACATTGTTGAATAGTAAAAGTGAGAATCTGCTGTGGTTGAAGCTATCAGGCACTGAATTTGGCCTCGAAAATGATATTTTCATCTGTGCAGTCTATTTGAAACCAAACAGTGGCAGAGCCGATGAAGCCACCCTTGACATTTTAGAAAATGAAGTAGCTTTCTATCAGCAGCAAGGTTATACCTATGCCTCGTGGGAGATTTTAATGCCCGTACAGGTGTCCTCCCTGATCTCATCAAAAATGATAATGACTTTGGGATAACAGTGCCTAACAGTTATGCCACAGACAGTCAGATAAGAAACAGAAGCAACTTTGATAAAGTTANTAGAGGTCTCTATTTTCAGAATAACATGGAGAGGAGTCTCTGCTGTCCGTTACTCACCACATTGGAGCAGGTGATCAGTGCATCCTCCCAGTCACATTCCTCTAGAACTCCATCATCATTCTGCATCATAGGGGTAACCAGACGCTGCCTCTTTAGGCCATCATAGGCAAACCTACAGATGAGACATGATATGCTGTGATTTATCTATTTTACTATTTGATTTGGTCAATACTATTATGCTCAAGTGTAAATGATCTGGCGATATTTTCTATTATATTTAAGTGCAAACAATCTGGTAATATTTTTCATTTTATTTTTATTACAAAAATTCTCATGTAACAGTTCATTATCAGGTTAAACCAATCTACAGAAACAATGGCCACATGTTCCTGCTTTTTTTCCCTTTTTTCTTATTTTTTGAAGGTTTTCAACAGTAATTAAGGAAATCGCTACTGAGGAATAAACCTCCTAACACAGACCTGCTTTTGTCAGAGATCCACTCCTCGTTAATGTCCTCGTTGACCCTGGGCAGGATCCTCATCACCTCACCTGTCCGAGTACTGACCACGATGTTACTGCCCACTGCGTCATGGACATCTATACTATCTACTTTCCTGGAGTACAGACACAACACTCAGATTAATATACATTGTAGACTGTGCTTTACTTAAATACTTCAGGACTAGAATAACTGTTCACTATTGATTTAAGATTTAATTTAGTAAGGTGCATGAGATTCAGGTAATACAAAAGAAAGAAATTGTTCAACAAGATATAATCAAAATAACACATATTACAATTTATTAGATGACAAGTTTATACTGTACTTACATGTTGAAATGAACATAAATATTTGCCATTTATTAATATCCTGTTGGCATGATTAGAATTACAATCTACACGTACAAGTTACAACCATTGCAATTCTTTAACTACTCCAATCTGGAAGGAATACCTTGTTTCCCATGGTCGAGCTGTGAAAGCATATGGCTTTGAGGTGAGTGCTCCTACAGGACACAGGTCTATCACATTCCCAGAAAGCTCAGAGCGGAACAGTTTCTCTACATATGTCCCGACCTGGAGACCACCTCCTCTGCCTGTTGTCCCCAGATCATCCACTCCTGCCACCTCACTGGCAAATCTGAAACAATGTATCAATATTTATAAATACTGGAAAATTTTAAACAATGTACCGATATCTATAAACACTTGCAAATCTGAAATAACATATCAGTATTGATGAATACTGGCAAATTGGAAACAATATATCAATATTTATAAATCTGGAAAATCTGAAACAAAGTATTAATATCTATAAATATCTGTGACTCTGTAAAAAAGACAAATTAATTTCAATCCCAATATATAAGCCGGCCTTGATTGTACAGTATACAGCTTTTTTACTTTGCCATTACAGTATTAAATTCTTCTCCAGCATCTTTGGAATTAATTGTTTAAGTCAGAATTATTATATGGCTGAGAAACAACTTTTCACATACAGTCACAGTAAAATTTGTTTATTATTTTCAAATACATCAATATCAAAACAGTACCACAATGTGATTTCACTTACCTTATACATCTTGTGCAATGTATACATCTAGTCATAATTGTCTTTATAAGAGGGCCTATATTTTTGTCTTCCACAGCTCTGGAAATGAAAAATTAAGCTTTTTCTTGAATCTTGTATTTCCAAAACCACTCCATAAGCAGTAGGTAAAATTAACCCATAAAACTGAACACAGTATTATGTTTAATTTCTCAGTTAAAGATGTGTGTAATTTTTTTTTTTTTTTTTGCAGTGAAAAAAATGAAGATGCCCTCTTAGAAAATGCCAGCTGAAGCCAAAAAGGGACAGAATGCATGCAAACACATACAAAATCACAAATCAGCTATCTCTATACCTTTTCCCAGTAAATTTTATGTCAGTAAATCTGCTGCGATCACTTCCAAAGGCGACGCTCTGATCTTGGAGATCACACTCCCCTCCCTGGTCACATATAGGGCAGTCAAGGGGGTGGTTCATTAATAAAAACTCCATCACACCCTCACGTGCTCGACGAGAGACCTCGGAGTCTGTCTTGACCTTCATGCCTTTCATTACTGGCATAGCACAGGAGGCAATAGGCTGCAACATATAAGATAACTTGTTAATCAAAATTATAATTAAAATCTGTTATCATTTATTTACATATCTACTACTGATGCTTTTCTTATATTTACATATCTACCACTGATGATTTTCTTAATATAAATAATTACCAGAGAGGAAAAGTTTACTTCATTAAACTTCCATTAACTTATATTAGTTTTGACAATTTGTGTTTCTTTCTATCCCTTAACAGAATTTTTTTAGACCAAACATCATCAGCCAAGTTTTGTCTTTATCTTCATTTTCTCCTTTGTTTTCAAAAAAGTCTGAGTCTGTTCCTCAAGCAGTTACTGATGCTAGTAATTCAAACAAAAGACACAGCGGTAATGCTGGGTTTACATATTATTATTACAGGTGATCTCTCCACCTCCACCACACACATCCTGCAGTTGCCAGCAATGGACATACAGAGTTAAGAGATCTCTAACTTACCTTGGGAGATCTCTCAACCTCTACCAAACACATCCTGCAGTTGCCAGCTATGGACATACAGAGTTAAGAGATCTCTAACTTACCTTGGGAGATCTCTCCACCTCTACCAAACACATCCTGCAGTTGCCAGCTATGGACATACAGAGTTAAGAGATCTCTAACTTACCTTGTAGTAGGCTTGTTAAGGACCAAAAAATGGCCAAACGCTGCATTTTGTAGTACAAATGTCTAACTTGGCATAAATGTTCCTTGGGCCAAAAGAAAATTTTTTATCCAGCTCTATCGATGCATAAATTAGCATAAATTATGCAAATTAGGTGCCAAAATATGTAATATTTCATATTCCCATTAATTGTTGGCCTACAAACATGTATAGATTATCAAACCTGACTAAANCCATTAATTGTTGGCCTACAAACATGTATAGATTATCAAACCTGACTAAATTAGGGACAAGGAACCCATTTTTGATCATTTGGAAGCAATTGGTGGCCATTTTGTGCCTCAAATCCAAGATGGCCGCCACCCGCCATTTTGAAAGTGGACATAATTTTGCTATTTTATGTTGAATTGTGAAGCGTTTGGTCCATATATGCTTGATATATATATCGATTTGTACTATTTTGGGGGTGCAAAAGTCATTTTTGATATTGTTTTGGTGATAGTAGGTGATTTGAAGGGACAAAGAGGGTGTTTTATGTGCCTACCCAGATATGTGTGAACACTGCAAAACCATGGATATTGATATTGATATATTCAAAAATATCTCAATGCAATTTTTTGTTATATACCATCGCTATTGGACTATATTATGAGCAAAAAAAAAAACACATTTTACCATTATGAAGGGCATTGGTGGCCGTTTTATCCCTCAATTCCAAGATGGCCGCCAAAAACAATTTTCAAATTGGGCATAATTTGCTATTATGAAACTATATGTATTACATTTTAGAAATGAGTAATATGTCGTTTTATATTATTTTCTGGTGCAGAATACATTATCTGTTTCATAAAATGTGAGTACAAACTATTGTAGCCTCCAAAATCAATATGCATGTAGGCTTAAGTTGTCAAATAGATTTACATGTGCCATGTAGTCTAATTAGTACAAAATGTTTTATAAAATCCTTAAGAGCCTGAAACAAGTGTAAGAGACCAAAATGGCTTAATTAAAGGTAAAGAACACATACTTGGTGCTTTGGAGACAATTGGTAGCCATTTTGATCCTCAAATCTAAGATGGCCGCCAACCACAATTTTGAAATACGGGTAGGGCATAACTCATCAATTTGAAGCTATTGCTCTTACACTAGCATGTTATACGTCGTTTCTTATCATTTGGGTTGTAGAAGTCATGTGTCTTATCCCTTCTGAGATATAATACAAAAAGAAAATATTACAAGGCTCCAAGCTTACGTCTTCACCTTCGCTTGTATACATCTTGAAGTCAAATTTGCGCAAAAATATGTTATATAACAGTTTTAAAATGGTTTTGCCAGACATAGTTTAAGTGCAAGAGACCAGCATGGCTGATTCGACTTAATGGTGAATACTGTTTGCTATTCTGTTGTTCATATCCAGGAGCCTGTCGCTATTCTAAAATTATGGCATAATTGACCTTTTTTGAGCTGTTGGACTTTCATATGATCGTAATACATCAATTGTTACTATTTTGGAGGTACATAATTAATTTCTGGTGTTATTCTGGTGACAGAGGACAATTAAAGAGGCATAAGGTGTTTTAAGATGATTCCAAGATGAATTTTCCTGTAGTTGTCATATACTGTAGATGTTTTGTGCTTGTTCGTCCATTGGAAACAATGAGAACTATGTAGTCGCCTTATGGATTTCTATTGGTAGTGAGATGGCCAAATCATGCTAGGAATGATCACTGGCACTGTCAACTAGGAAAAGAGGCTGCTTCCTCGACTATTTTGCTTTATCCCTCTTGCCTACCTGGGCAGCTGCTGCTTTCTAGTTGGTTTTGCAGATTCCTTCTTCCTCTGATGCGACATGTTCTCATGACAAAACCTAAATTCTTACTGGCTGTTGTCTTATTGGCCTACCAGAGCTGATCATGCACGTTTCTTTTTGCTGTGCTGCTGGATGGTTTTGCAAGATCTGGAGCTATTTCAAAGCAAAGTCCATTTGCTTGTCTTTCACGGTAGTTTCATAGTATTATAAGACGACGAATTTTTCACCCTTCAAATCTTCTGGACTATATTTAACATGCAAATGCAAGCCCCAGTGACTGGGACATAAATTTACGTGTGGCTTTTTGGTTTACATGGACCATTAAAAGATGAATAATATAATACCACTATGTATATATATTTATTGCTTACCTTTAAATTATCCAGTATCTTTTAGTGGATGGTCACTTAAGATTAATCTAGATGATATATCTGAGCATGTGGTTCGGGTGCCACATTTTTGTAACAGACTCAACGAAACTCATCTTGGAATTTATTTTACAACCTTATACTACCTTTTTATTATCTTCTGTCACCAAATTAGCACCGGAAAATTACTTTTGAGCCCCCAGAATAGTACCATTTTACCCAATACAAGCGAATGAGTGTCCCACAGTTCAAAGATTATAAATTACACCAAATTATTAAAAAAATGGCATGCAACCAACACTTGGTTTTGATCACAATAATGGCTAACAATTTTCCTCATGCGGTCAAATATGTATTCTTTTGCTTTAATTCAGCCATTTTGTTTGCTGACACTTGTTTTATAGATCGGGCAAAAGCAGTTTTGTACTAATTCGATTACTAATTGTACATGTAAACTGCAGGCCCATGTGGCGACTGAATCCTATATTTATTTGGAAGCTTATAAAAGTTTCTGATTACATTTTATGAAACCGAAAATGCATTCTGCACCAGGAAATAATCAAAAATGACGTATGGCACGCTTATGAAGGTGTGATAGTTTCAAAATGGTGAATAATGCTCAATTTGAAAATGGCAGATGAGGGCCATCTTGGCTTTGAGGCACAAATTTTATGAAACAGAAATTGTATTCTGCACCAGAAAATAATATAAAACGACGTATTACTCGTTTACAAAGATGTTATACATGTAGTTTCAAAATAGTGAATTATGCCCAATTTCATGGTTTTTGGCGGCCATCTTGGATTTGAGGGATAGAACGGTCACCCATGGCCTCCATAATGGTAAAAATGAGTTTTTTTGCTCATAATTTAGTCCAATATGGATAGTATATAACAAAGAATTGCATTGAGATATATTTGAATATAGGTTATCAATATCCATGGTTTTGCAGCGTTCACACATATCCTGTAAGGCACTTAAAACACCCTCTTTGTCCCTTCAAATCACCTACTATCACCAAAACAATATCAAAAATGACTTTTGTACCCCCAAAATAGTACGAATCGATATATATATCAAGTATATATGGACCAAACGCTTCAAAATTCAACATAAAATAGCAAAATTATGTCCACTTTCAAAATGGCGGGTGGCGGCCATCTTGGATTTGAGGCACAAAATGGCCACCAATTGCTTCCAAATGATCAAAAATGGGTTCCTCGTCCCTAATTTAGTCAGGTTTGATTATCTATACATGTTTCTAGGCCAAAAATTAATGGGAATATGAAATATTACATATTTTGGCACCTAATTTGCATAATTTATGCTAATTTATGCATCGATAGAGGGCGTCTCTTTGGATAAAAAATTTTCTTTTGGCCCAAGGAACATTTATGCCAAGTTAGACATTTGTACTATAAAATGCAGCGTTTGACCTCTTAACAAGCCTACTATTGGGAGATCTCTCAACCTCTACCAGACACATCCTGCAGTTGCCAGCTATGGACATACAGAGTTTACAGATCTCTAACTTACCTTGGGAGATCTCTCCACCTCTACCAGACACATCCTGCAGTTGCCAGCTATGGACAGTCTGTCATGATAGCAGAAGCGAGGAATTTCTACTCCAGCTACAGCACATGCCTGTAATAATTCCAATTCCATTAGCTTTATTTCACATACCAATACTATGGGACTGAATAACAAAAAACTTACAAATATTTATTAGCAAACCACATACATCCAGACTATAAACAAAATTTAGATACACAGTATGATATAAAATATTAGAACAGGATGATAAGAAAACAATGAACCTTAATTGAAGTACACCAATTTCTCATTTAAAATGAGTGAAATTGTCAACCTATTTTCAAAAATGATGATTTGATGATAAGTAACCAAATCTAAATCAGAAAATTCTTAACAGCGAATTATGTTCAATTTATAGTAGTTTAATTCCATATACTATCAATTTTGAAATTGTCAAATGCTGAAATTTCTAATTATTGTTAATCTTACTTCCACCTATGATATCTAAAATTCAAACATGCTGAACACTACTAGATTCATGTTACAACTTCTTTCAAACTATAGGACTATATATCACAATGCATAGCACCATTGAAATCGAAATTCCTGTGAACCACAATTTAGTTTCTATTCCTTATACCACTTAACTTACTTGCAGCACTGTTGTTCCTGGGTCAACTTCTACCCTGGTGTCATTGATAAAAACTTCCACTTTGTCACTGGCAGTAGACTGACCCCGCGCTGGAGATGAAATATGTAAGAGAACTCTAAGATGCATCTTTAGCAAGAACTTATGTCCAATTATAGCCAGTAGACCCAACCAAATGCCACCATATAGTTTTAAATATGCAAAGAAATACACTAGAGCTAATTTAGATTAATTCATGAAAAATAATATTTACACAGATATTTTTGTCTACTTTCTCTGCTCTATAGACTAGAAGAAAAAAAGTCAAAATTTTAAAGTCCCTCTGCTGTACAAGACTATTTTTTGCATGTGGGTTTTATTTGTATTGTGCAAGAAACTGGTGCTAACAATTCATACATGGTACAGGGCATTTTCTTTTGCTTTTTTTCCATGTTTTAGAACAAATAACTATACTTCAAAGATTGCAAATTTGAGTGCTATGACATGGAATTTTGAGCTAATATAAAAGGAGTAATTTTTTATAATTGTTATTAAGATAACATTAAGTGACTATACGACCTATGTCACCATGTGATTATTATATCAGTTTTACAACTCCTACATACTTGCAACAGCTGTCCAGCTTGGTGTGTTCAACACCCTTCTACTCAAGGGCCACAACCTCAGCATGGTGGCAGCCTGAAAGAATAAATACAGTGCACATGTAGCTTTATGATAAGTAATTCGATGCAAATAAAATGGGCAAATCGTTGAAAATGAAATGAGAAATTACAGAATACAATCGGCTTATAACAATGAAGAAATTCTCTTGGTACTCTTGGGGGTACAATGTCACGCACTATTCCAGCTTAACTGCAGCAGTTTTTTATCTGCCACATAATTTTCAATGTCACACTCCCAGTCAAAATTATTCTCAGGAATTGCCGAAATAACCTTGTCTGGTTTTGTAACGTCGGCTAAAATTTAACGCGATAATTCAACGACTTTGAAAAGCGCAAAACCAATTTGCAAGAGACTGTTATGCTATCAAAGATACAAATATAAAATATATAGCAACTGGGTAGCCTGTTTACATTTATTTGACACGATAATCGACAAAAAAATAACCAAAACACACAGCCTACCTCTAAAACGGAAACAATATGGATGCAAGTTTCACGCAGTGCATGATGGGTAAATAAAAATCAAATATTTTTTAAATAATGATTAGAATACTCATATAGCATTCAGTTGAGATAATTCAGTTTTTCATTTATTTTTTATGATATGTACATGAAATATTTATAGAGACACACAATGTTACTAACTAAACCTAGATGTCGGCATGCGCACATTAAACTTCCGCCTTTTCGCCGACCGGTGATCGACAGTGTAACACGTGTGCACGTCTCCCCAACATTTTTATCCACCGTTTAAGATGGGTTTCGGTGATCTGAAGAGTGCTGCTGGCCTCAAGGTCCTTAATGAGTTCCTGGCCGACAGAAGTTACATACAAGGGTAAGTGTCAACGGCTTATCAATGAGTTTCTGTCGATTTATACCAGTGCCATAATGTACGTGTTATCATTGTACGTTGTGGTGTAGTGTAGACGTAGTACACTGTAAACTGCGTTTGCAAACTGCCCTTGTAGACAGTGAAGAGCGCAATACAAATAAATAGCTCAATTGAATACTACTACGTATCTGATATTCGAGCAAAAATTCCGCTGAAAATTCTCTGCGTTTTGATATTTTATTATGCAGGCTCGATTTTACGATTGCCCATGTGTAAGTTGTGACAAGTTTGTTCTGTGTGTTGTTAGCACCATGTCAATATTGAATTTTTTGTTTTAACGTTAACAAGTTTATTGTAAGTAATATTTCATAATAGAGAAATGCTTGTGAAAATTGACACCATGAGTACAGTAGTTTTAGAATAGTTTTCATTTCTTTTACCAAACAAAGATGTCCGCACAGTATACTTTGCAATTAGTTACAGGAAGTTGCATCACAAATCATAACTTGAATAATTAGTGGTCACTATGCATTGTAATACGTTTAGCTTTACCATTTTGGGTAAGAGCATAAGTTCATTACAAATATACTTGCACTAGTAAACATAATAAATTTAATTATTATTATAAATATTATCATTATCAATTGTGTTTTTAGGTTCACCCCCTCCCAGGCTGATGTAGCCGTGTTCTCCGCCCTGTCTGGACCACCGTCAGCTGACCTGTGCCACGCCCTGCGCTGGTACAACCACATCAAGTCATTTGGCAAGGCCACAGCCAGGTACAGTTAACATGGACTGAATAATCTCACTCTCTCACATACCAGTATTCACTTACAGAAGAAATTTTTATGATAATAAAATGTGAATTCTCATCTAAAGAGATGCTTGTGTTCTGTTTTGAAAGATGTCAAAAGTGTTATCTGTTGACCTGCCACAAGCTGTAGCCTAAGAAGGCAGCCACGTCAGTGTGATAGGGCAACATACTTGTACAAATTTGTCAGACTGTTCCTACAAACTGACAACTTTAGAATTAAGTCGTATTTAGTCTGTTTTACTTCTGTTAACATAGTTTGATCTTTAAAAGCCTAATTTATTTATCAAATATATATTTCAGTTTTCCTGGACAAAAGAAGGATGTCAGTGCCTATGGCCCAGCTGGCGGTGCCTCAGCTGCTGATGACGATGATGATGATGACGATGATATTGACCTGTTTGGGTCTGATGAGGAAGATGACGCTGCTGCTGCTGAATTGAAAGAGAAAAGATTAGCTGAATACGCTGCTAAGAAGGCTGCAAGTAAGAAATCGATTATGCCCTGCCTAAGAAATTAATTATGCCCTGCCTAAGTAGCACGGACAGGAATATTGTTTTGTTATGATCAAGAATGTCAGCAGATTATATGTGCTGCTAATACACACACACACACACACACACACACACACACACACACAGATCTGTTTGAGCTTTATCTCATATTTATTTATTTATTTATTTGTTTATCAATCTTTCAGAGCCAGGCCCGATTGCCAAGAGTTCAATCGTTTTGGACATTAAACCCTGGGACGATGAAACAGATCTTGGTGAAATGGAGAAGCTAGTCCGTGGCATTGAGACTGATGGTCTAGTGTGGGGAGCTTGTGAGTAGAGGACATGGCTTTACTTATTGCCTGAATACATAGTGCTGAGTCTGCTTGCTAGGTTAACAAAAGTCTGGGTCGGTCAAGTTAAAGCACATTATACCAGAGCTGCCAATATACAGAAAGAGTTTTCTGTTAATTTTTAAATTAATTGATTTATTTGCAGTGGATATATTACTACCAGGAGTGGATTTGTCCATCATAAAAAAACAAACAGCAATAAGGGTCATTTTCAAAGGTTTCAAGTTTAAAAAAAACTATTAAAAATTCATCATACACTACAAATAACTGAATGGTGAATTTCAAATTATTTTCCAGCCAAACAAGTCCCAGTGGGCTATGGTATCAAAAAGCTGCAGATCATGTGTGTTGTAGAAGATGCCAAGGTAAGCCACAGTAGGGTGGGAAGTGGGGAGGGGGGTAGCCCCCTCATCCTAAATCTTACAGTTAGCTAACTTATAAGTCTATGACTGCATTCCCCACAGATTTTAGATCAATCTATCCATGTGGGGAGTCTCACTGGATTACTGTCAGCTTAGCCGGCTTAAATGTCTGTCCCGTCTACTAAAAGGGGGTAAATAACTTCCGTGCGCTCTCGGCTGACAGCAATTTAGCATGAACCCCCAGGGAGTTAGGTTGA